TGTTTTTTTTTTAACTTTTCAATGGTTTTAAGTAACATATTATTCGTAATAGATTCAGCACTTGGAATCATTTTTTATGATAATTCTTTTATACATCCTCCAACTGGTATTACATTTTTAATACCTACCATTTAATCTATTCTCATTTCTTATGGGCACTGAGTTGCAATAAAATGTTGTCCATTGGGTTTACTAACATGTTCCTAAACTTGACCTAGAGCTTAGAGCATTCATTTTACACACTTGAAGTAATAGACTGGATAGGCATAAAATGAGAATGATGAAATAAATTGGGATTCCTAATTTAATTTTCTAACGCAATAATTTAAAGTGTGTTCCTTAATTTTAAAAGGGCATATGTGTTTTGTATTTATTCTTGCTTTATTTTTGGCAGTTACTAAAATTAAAAAGTAACTTTCATAGAGAAATAGAAATTCTTAAAAATCAATTGTAGGAAAAAGTTTTAAGTGATGATTTTAGTTAATGTTTAAATATATTAAGCAAATGCCCAACAAAATTTTTTTTCATTAAGGAAAAGCATTCTCATATCTGGAGAAGGTGTGAAACTACAATTTTATTCTTAGAGAAGTCTTTAGGTAATATTTTTGTAAGCTTCTTATTAATTAACAATGGCTTCTAATAAATCGGAGGTGTCATATATCACTCAGTAAATAAAATATATTCATTAAATGACTAAGTGACTTTCATTTTGTAAATGTGGAGAGGAAATGGTTTCAAATTTGAAACCAAATTTGATACTTAGAATTTTAAAGAAAATCTTAATGTGAGATTAAAGATTTGTTCTAATAAAGGGAGAAATGGATGGACTATTTCACTTTAGTTTAAATAAATTAGACTTGAAAAGAAATAAAAGAAAAATTGCCTTAAAAGTGTTTATCCTGTAACTTTTAATGTTTTAGTTGTTTTAAAGTATAATATTTTAAAACCCTAGGACTGTCCTGATTAAAGTGTTTTTTGTCTGATTGTAAGTACATATCCATTTGCTGGTGATTCCCACATATTGGCAGGTGTAGATTTATTAATTGTGAAAACACTATTGACACCATATGAAAATGTTCAAGGAAGAACCATAGTATCTATGAAAAAGGACTTTTCCAGGCAGTAGGCTTCATTTTGACTTGTGGTGGTGGTGGTGGTGGTGGTGGTGGTGGTGGTTTTTCTGTTCTGTAA